TTTTACCAGTTTCTCCACAAATCATGCAGAATTTGGTGAACACATTCATTTCCGAGAAAATAAACCTGATCCAGGCTCCATATTTGGTGTACCATTGATGCGAGAAAATATCATTTTCCAGGAATTGCCTGATGGTCAACTAGCCAACTATAATGCATTGCCTGTAATGGATTTATGGGGAGACCTTGTCACATTTGATGGATTGCTACGCCGTGGCCATCATCTTCAATCTAATGTGTCGTTATGTTCACCACCTGACAAAGATGATGATCCAACATTTGATCCAAGTGACCTGTTGTGCATTAACCCAATTGAGAAACGTAAAGCATTGGCCGAGTCACAAAAATATAAAAGAGACCTGAATATCATGTTGAGGGTTTTTCAAGAGGTTAAAGATTTTGCTGAAAAAAATGAAAAGAACATGGGTCCAAGAAAATTTATAAGGACTTTTTTGAAAATATTAAATGGAACATTCGTGCCACCACCCATCATATTCAATGATCGCAACGATAGCAATTATATATTAACAGACGTTGATCAATATGATGATAACAAATTGATAGCTGGAAGTAACGGTGGTTTTAATCAAGATATTAGTAACAGTCTATTGGTAGATGGGGGTAATGCATTAACTCAAGCTGTTAATAATAACATATTAACAGAAGCCAACACCAATACAACGATAATGGATGAGGATAACCAAATTGCACAGAAAGTGGAAACGAAATATAAAGAACAAATCAAACCTTTGAGGATTTATGAAGAGATGTTTAATGAATTGCTTAATTAATTCATCAATTAAAAAATATATTCGTTCATTCATTCACCCATTAAAAAAAATTTTTGTTAAATATAATTTAATGTATATAAATCTAATTTATTTAATTTATTTAATTTTTTATTATAATATTAATATACCATTAATTACACATTAATATAAAAAACAATAAAAACTTATCATATATATATATATATATTTGAAATAATTTTTTAGATTAAACTTTTTTTCAAAAAAAATTCAGCTAATACCATTGAAAATTTATTTAATTTGATCAAAGGCTTCATCACAAGCCGAAACTTTTGATTTTTGACTCTTGATTTTGATTTTTTTCCTCTTCAAAATAGTTTTGGCGACCAACATTAAAGAGCCAAAAGAAAAAAAGAAAAGATCAAGATCATCATCAAATAGGTTACTCAACAACAAACAGAACAACCACAGCTACAACCACAGCTACAACCAAAACAAAGTAAGTATATGATTAAATATACCTGACAACTGTTTAATATTTTCTAGTCTTTAATCTAATACCTAACTTTTATTTTTATTTGTAAATTAGAATGAATTTAAGT